TATCAATGGTTTATTTTTTGGATTATGGGCGACATATTATTTCGTAAACGCGATCGTCCAGCTGTGGGTTCGGGACCAAATACCAACTTTAATACACTATAAACCTACATAATATTATTCAGATCTATAACCTCGGAATGAACGATATGTTATTACGAACTACATATTATTATTGCGTGCACGTGGAAAGATTTCAATAAAAATAAAACGCGCTATAAGCTCGGAGCTGAAATTATTAAATTTAATATGATTGGTTCCGTGAAACAGGTCGGGAAAAATAAATATTGTGGATGTATGTCACAGACGAACAAGACACTTGTTATTGAGCTTGTGAAAAGCGAAACGCCAAGACGTGTGTAGAGAAATTCCAATTATGTTAAGTGACCAGAATTGAATTCGAAGAAATTTCGAAGACATTGAAATGACACGACGGCTTTGTAGCATGCAATATTAAAAATTGTGATGCAGACTGTAGAGACGAGATATCTATGATAAATACATAGTATCATATATATGTACATTATCGTTTGAACAAGACTTCACGTATCGAGTTAACTTGTCTAAAATGGGGTTTAGTTCAAAAACATTTGATATTATCGAAAAAGCCGAGACAACTATAATAATAATAGTTATGTAATATTTCACATAGGTATATGAATGTTCATATGTATAGATATACATACGTATATAGGTAAACACTCACACACGACGTAGGTGTACTCGACATGGCGTATTTGGTGCAAATTGATCAATAATATTCTTCAGTCATTATGATATGTGCGGCTAGATAAGAATATCAATATTTTTTTGTGCTCGACAATAAGATCTATTAGCAACTGATCACACTTATCTTGGCTATATGACTTATTACTGATTTTAACCAGGTCTTTATCATTGGAAAAGTTTTAGTGTTGTAGTTAACACTATGTGACGTGCACACAGATAATATCGACGGTTCAAACTTTTAGGCAGGCGTGAACAAGTAATTGGCAAATTTAGATATTCTTAGATACCGCGTGTACTGGTCATAATATTGTGTACAATATTTGTACATTATTATTTTTATAATATTCAGCAAAAAACTAACAAAGTATAATATCATATTAATCTGCTTAAAAATGATAATGATGTAGTATGCAAAGAACATGTTTCAAATGCAAAAATAACATATCACAATATGTTTACATATTATTATTCAAACATTTTTTTTATTTGAATTTAAATCGTATTGGTTCGCGTTAGTGAATTTTCCAAATCAACGATTTAAAAAAAAAAAAATTGGAGACAAAAGTTTAAAAAAAAATGCATTCGATTAAGAGTTAAAGATAAATTCAATAATGTAATCCAATTTCAAAATGTTTATCGATTCACTAGATCGGCGGCACTGCAAGCATGAAGATAATACTCGAAGATGAGAAACTCTAAATCAGGTATATTCGCATTTCAATTGGCACTGCATTAAAAACTAATCAATTTAATTTCCAACGAAATTGATTATACGCCAAGGCACGGAATGTGCTGAATGACAACGGAGTTAAACAAATAGAGTTGAGTTTATTGGATCGCGTGACAGAAAAAAAATAAAACAATTTGCGTAAGTCCTTAGAGTCTTGTGTTTCCGATGACTTTGAAAAAAAAAACTGTAATTCTATCGAACATTATTTAATATCGTATTGCACAATAGTAGCTCGAAATTCAACAGAATAACCTGCAATTTTACCTTATTAAAACACAACATTTGTGGATGGATTCATGTCTCATTAATTAAAGTTTATTATAAAAACGTCAAAATATATAAAAATATTTAATATTAAATACCTATAAAAACTGTTTGTTCTTTTTGAACAATATGCGACAGATGGGTGTTAGGTATTCGTTCATTATGTATGTGTGTTCAGATGTCTGTTTTGTTAAAAAAATATTATGTATATGCGTGATGTAATATGTATATATAAAATATTATATATATATACAATATTGTAATTAAATAGTGTTTTCCTCATTAGTTCATTGTAGTGGTAGGTACACTAAGCAGAATTTAATAAAAAAAAGAAGTTACTTATACAAATTAATTAATTTAATGAACTATAAAATCATTGACATTATCGACATCATAATATAATTACAGGAGTAGATATACCAAATGATCAAACATATTCTTACCAAATATAATATACTTTTTCATAAAAATAAAAGCATTGATTGAACTGTAAGGAAAGATACTGTGCCAGAACCAAGGCTAACACTATTGTGTGATAAGATTTGTCATTATTAATTTGTTGTTATAGCCTAAATAGGGAGGGAGCGGGACATCTGGGCCATGGTGAAATTTCAGTTTTTATTGAAACATATTATGTAATAATTTATCTATGTATATGTTTTTATTGTATTAAGTTATAACCCTCCAGCCCCATAAAAAATATAATTGGCTTATAGTGAAAATAATTCCTATATAAGCCACTGGACATTAATGTAGTACTGAAGCACATCGGTACATATAATTTTATCATATAATGTAATTTCATATATTATATATTAATAAATCAAGTAGGTATTAAATTAAAGTAACTTATTAACATTTTAATTAACACATATTATAGTAACAAATATACAGAGAACACCGACACCACGAAACATGGAGCAGCCAGTTCCTGAGTAAGTACAACTGTACAATGTACATTGTAATATAGCAAGCACGTGTTAAGAACGTACACATTAAATCCAACCTAAAAATATCCACCTCAATGTAATTGCCCAGGCACCACTTTGGAACGGCGGTATCATTAGTTATCATTATTATTTTAAGAGGACATTTGTAATTAAATTTATGCAAATTAACTTTAAAAAAGTGACAAGGTTAATGTCCAGATTTCAAAAGTGGACAAGATCAGGAGTTATAGTTAGTAATCGAGGCCTTGAAATATTTTCCGGACTATATATATATCTTAGTGGTGGATTGAGTGTGAAAATTGAGTGTATTGACAACTTTCATGAAATAGAAGAACTTGTAAAAGCATTATATTGTATCTAACCTGACAATGACAAGAATCGATATGATATAAAACAAAAGAAGGCAACAGTTTAATTTGAGTATATCAAATAATTGTATATTAGTGGGCGAAATATTAATTCAAATGTGTATAAAAAAATAGTTAATATACATTCAGAAATAGAAAAATTCTTCAATCAAAAAAGTTACACATAACAGTTAGTTTGGAAATCAAGTAGTAGTGGTACAGAAAACCCAAGGGCCTAAAAAGAATACTTTAGTTGAAACTACATTTAGATCATATGGGGTTGAAAAAACAATTGCCAAAGCTAAAACAAACAATCTACTCGGTATTTTGTCTAATGACGTTAATAATGTAATATGTCATGCAACTAACATAACAGAGGAAATGTAAAAGAACAATAATTACACTTGAAATCACTGAGTAGCCCTTTCTAAGTTAGGAGTTGACTTTGATGAAATATCAAGTCAGGCATATTTCATGGTAGCTGTAAGGTGTTATTCTAAATCATTTGAATCGATCGAAGAAAATTCTAAAAGTATAGAAATAATTATTAAGGAATTAAGAAATCTATTTTCTAGATTTGTAATGTCGAATAAAATTTTATCTGATAATACACCATTTTATTTATTAAAATTTGAGGAAATTTGCTTTGAAGTCGGGTTTCCTTTCATGTGAAGATAATACCACTATAGGAAACTCGGTTATAATTTATAATTTCTCACGGTTGCAGATCACGGCATGGCATTCTACATTATCATTATGAATGCAATAATCAGTTGGACATTGAGAATATTTACCATCCCTATATATAATTATGATATGCATAATGATCAATCCATAGTAAATTCTAAAAAACATGACCACTTATCCCCTAGCCAAAACTTTTATTACATTTTAGCAGGTGTTATTAACAGGTTTTTTTACTTCTTTATCATAAGATTTAAGGAATAATATAAGTTTAAACTATGTTATATACGACAACTATGCAAATAATAATTAGCATAGCACATGGGCGTATTCACGGTAATGGATATGGGGAATGGGGATTCCCTAGACCTTTTTTTATACTTATATATACACACATGATATTAGCGCAGGGCACACTTATCTTAGAAATAATAAACATATAATACATCCTACTTAAATGAAAATGTTTGCCTTACCCACCGGGGTAGGTTTAATTAAATAAGTTCGTATAGGTGTTGGGGGACCACATTTTCAAAGCGATGGTGAATAAATGATTAAATGAATCTGACTTGTGATGAGATTGGTGATTTGAGTACCTGTTGTCTATGGAAATTTTAAATCAGTATTTTTTATAATAATTACATAATTATGAATTATGTGAATTTGGAAGTTTTTACAAAGTTATGAACGTTTTTATGAACTAGGAGGTATTTGCTATAATACTTAGGTAATATTTTATTTTGAACAATTTCAAATTGTTTGATGTAGAAAGACGCGCACTTACCCTAATTAAGGCAAACGTAAGTGACTAGTGACTTTTTATTTGCTTAAATATTATTAATAGAGAATATTATTTATTTGCATTATAGAGTTTTTATTATATAATTAAACAGAATTGAATATTTTTTTTTTATATATAGGCCTCAACTGCTAAGGTTATTGGCGATTCGATAAACAAATAAATAAATTTAAATTTAAAGATTTATACAAAATATTTTAAGTATGATACATGAAAGGCTTAAGTTATTTTAATTACATAAATGTATAACAATTTAATTTTAATCAATACTTTAATATCAACTGTATGAACTTGTACTCTTCATAATATGTTAGTATAATTTTTAAAATGCGAGACAGTCAACCAATGAATTATTTTGATAATTTATTATTTCAAATATATTATACTTCTACCGTAGTTGGTATATAGACAATGTGCGTAATTGCTTTATTTATTTACACAATTGTAGTATTGTTATTATTCAAATATTATAAGCATAGGAAATTCATAATTGACTTGTTAGGTGTAGTGATTTGATAATTTTCATACTAAAACTTGTGTTTATAATGTATTTAACACTATAACTTAACTAACCTATGTTATATTGTCAGATTTTAAAAACAATAAAATGAATAGTTTTGTATTACTTATGTTTTTTGTTCTACGACATCTATGGATTCCGATCAACGCTGCAGATGATATTATACCAACACCGCCACATATTATGCCGGGTATAATGTTAATAAATAATACATTTTAATAAAGTTATATACATTTAAATATAATAACAAAATCAATTAAATATCAATGTACAATGTTTAAAATGCATCGAATTATGCATTATTAAACAGTTTGGTTGTAAGCTATATTGGTGTGATACCAATAAAAAAAAAAAACGGGAGTAGGTAACCATTCTGCTGCACACTATGAGTCATTCATTGAGTAAGTTACTGTAATTTATGGGTTAAATTTGAAAACAGTAATAAATCATTTCATACGAAAAACGATTCTAAGAGGAGACGGTCTGTCAGACTATTATCAATTAAATATATTGCTATTAATTACTATAATAATCCGATATTTTGAGTTTCAGTATGAACTAGGTATTTATAAAGAACCTTAATTTTTAAGCCTTAGCCATAAGAATTGAACATTTTTTATATTTTTATCTACAAAATAATTTGAAAATTATGGTAGGTTTGACTAATTTTGTGAACATTTTAACTTGAAATGTCTATAAAAATTTTTTTATGTAGGAATCATAAATACTCGTATTTTAAAATAAGGCTCATAAAATGTATGAAGTATCCTTCATTACAATTTCAATGTTCTAGAAGGAGTGAACAAATATTTATCAACTTTCACAGGGGAAACAACGAAAATGTCAAATGTGTATAAATAGCTCAAAAAGCTTCAAAATATTTTGAAAACGTTATCTATAGAAAATGATAATATACAAATTTGGTGAAAACTTAAAGTTTACGATTGAATATAACATTTGTTTTTTAATCCTTTAACAGTTTAAACATTTTGCTTAGTGGGTAGGAACAATACGTGTGTGTGTGTGTGTGTATGAGCATATATCGTGTAACCTGAGTGTTTTCCCAAGAGAGAAGCGACGCATACTACACAACTTATACGTTTTAAAAATTTCTTTTCATTTGTGTGTTTACCTACATTTCCTGGAACCCAACATAGTTCGATTCAGTAGTTAAAACAGCTCAGAGAGTATTGATGACATATTGACATCGAGGGACAGTTCAAAAATCTTTGCAATCAAAGGCATTCAAACAAATACTAAATATTTACAGAAATGTGTTTTTAAATGTCATTAGTTGATTAATACGTAAAATAAGGGGTTCAATCCTATGTAAGCAAGGTTGAAAAGTAAAATATTTATACAATTTTACTATTGGTCCAATGTAAATAATTATTTTTAAATCAATAATATCAACATTTTTACTACAACCCAAAATTATAGAAATAGCAACTTATTGCAGCAATTGGTAAATAATTAATAACTATGAATAAACTAACTTAAGAAGTTCTTTCAACGGACAGGTTTTCACCAAATAACTATACTCACGCCCCATAAATTATACTCAACTAGAAATTACTCTTATAAGCTTGCAAAATAGCAAAGATCTTTTCTAAAAAAATAAGGAAAATTAAAAAAAAACTTGGAACAAGAACAGGTTTGTACCGGGTTTCAAATGTATCTCGTCTTTGAGTTGGGCAGTGTAATGGAGCATGTGTTAAATTTGAATTCAATGATAATTAATAAGACATTTAAATCCATGTACAAAAAACGATTCTTAGCGGTATCTCAGTCATCAGTTCTGAGGATATTGTATAAGATATTTACAGTAGAATAAGTAATTTATTTTTCTAGGAGTAATAAGGAAGGTTCAATTAGTTAATGCCAAACACATCGCACATATTATGATTTATAATGTTATCATACTATATTAGGTATTGCAATTATATATATGTATATTGTTACTATATATATTATTATATTATTATTTTGTATTTACTAGTTATAAGTTATAACATTTCACGTCAATTCCAACGTACCTTGGAATTGTGTGAATAGGTTTAGCTTAAAACTAGTTCATTTGTTCATGCAATTAAACTGTGCACAGAAAATAATAGCCTGTACATTAGCCATGAAGATACTATTGTATAAAGTACTTGGTGAAAATATGAAGCCTTTAATATTATTTATTTATAATTTACATCAAAGTGAAATTCGGTATTGTTGCAAACTGATATTGCATAAACTTATCAAATTATTCGTCTATTTTATAAATAAAAAACTATGATCTCAAATAACTTAAAAAAACATCTAACAAATAAACATGGACTTAACGCATATTATAAAGTGTCTAATATATGATTGAATTATTTGTTTTCAGTGCTTGGGAAATCACCATGTATGTATTCAGGTAGTTTTGATCCAAGTGGATTCTACTGTCCAGTTCTTCCAATGCCCGTTACATCTCTACCAATAGAGTGTTCATCCTTTATTTATGATGGATTAATATGTAATGAAAATTTTGAATTTAATCCTTCCGATGAGGATATGAGTAAGGAAAAACCATTTTTGAAAACAAATAGGTACCTAACTTTCTTTTGTGGCATCGAGGAAGCTGCCAGAATTGCTTAAGCACCTATCTATAAATATAGAAATAAGGATTGGCAATAAACATATCATATTATTTACTCATTAAAATAGTTTTTTTTTATTTACAGATAATATGCAGTATCTTTCAAATTCTGGTAAGAAATTGTATATATATTACAGTCATGGGTCCTTACAAAGTTGGATGCAAGCAATTACTAATACATCAAAAGTACCAACCGAGGCTTCCAAATTAGCATCCTTTATAAAATCTGATATAGTTGCGGGGTTAATACTAAAAGATTTAAATTATAATTATGATGGTGTAAGTTGCAAACTATTTTAGCTACATTTAAATAGACAATCATAAATAACACATTTTATCTTGAATGTATTTAGAATTACCCATAGGTAAGCTGTAGACATTACAATTATTAAGCTATCAGAATTATCATAGATTTGTACAGTGGCACCCTGCAATATATATTTTTTCAAGTGCAGCAAGATATAGTTACCTTTATCCACCCACCAAAAGTTATTAAATATTTGTATTTGAATATTCATCCCTTATTATTTTCAATGTGTAGAGATAACTGCAAAAAGTAAAATGGTTGAGCCCATCCCTAGCCCCCCCCCCCAAAAAAAAAATGTACCAGTTAATACAGATAGCATGGCCAAAATATCCATTAATTTAAGTTGGTATTAAATTAAATTTACTCAGGCATAGACACCTCCTCCCCCCACAAACTCTTTAAAGGTATAGCAGTTGCTAGTCACCACATCTTGTGTATAGGCCGGGCACCACTGAATTTGTAAGCTAGATAAAAATGATGGTTATAAATTAAACTAAAAACAATTAGCATACACATAGGTACTAAACTGAGCAAATATCTAGTAATTGCTGTACTTGAAACTCAAATAATAAGGGTGTAGATAAAATAGGTGGCGTGCAAATCATTGAGCTGACATTATTTTAGCATGCCAAAATTAATAAATTGTAAGGAATTCATAAAGTTATGGTATAACTGTAATATAAAGTAAACCTATCACTAAGCGTCTGAGCCTATAAGGCTATAAATGTTTAATAATAATTATTGTCCTCGGTCGTTTGCGTTATCACATAATCAACATCATTGATATTATTGACTAATGCGTATGCGATTACACTATTTGTCGTCAATCTACAATTTAGTTATTGTAGCTATAGGTACTTATTATTTGAGGGTACCATATTGTAGAAAAGAATAACGCTTTTACCTATGAAAAATGGACGTTGTAAATATTCCACTTAACATTTAGATATGCATAGACTATATTATATCGTTCTAAAATAAAACTATTAGGTAACTTATTACCTGTTATCATTTAGTTGCAAACAATTGTTTTAATCACATGATTTACATAATATTTAGTCTTACTTTTTTTTCTCACATATCCATTACAAAATGAAAATTGAATAATATAAAATAAGAATTTAAAATATTATATTATTCATGTTTACTTGAAATTTTTAAAGTACATTATTACTCTTGTATTTTTTAGTGTTAGTCTTTTACACAAGATTGCATTTACAAATTCAATGTTTTCGAACAATAAATACATTACTTTAATAACAATAATATCATACAATACGTATACGTAATATTATAATATGATTCTTCTTTTTATTTTTTATTTTTCATTGTTCGTATATGGTATGCAATGATTTATCATTGAATTCAAATTTAACATATGAATAACAACTAACTATTGGTTACCTAGTGTACTGCAGATCCATTTGCCCTTTTATTTATTAAATCATTATATTATTGTATTTAATTTAATCATTGTTGATTAATTATTTAAATTTTTCGTGAAAAAAACCACATTATGTCGTCTGGAAGAAGTAAAGTCTCTTTTAGAATAAGAAAATCGGTGCCAATGAAAAATAACATGAAGAGGAGAAAAAACACCGATGAATCAATTATCATAATAGTTATTATGGCCTTAATAGTTAATAAAAAACTATTTAGCTTAAAAAAATTAATTTTTCCATTAAAAAATATCAATGTGTAAAAATTATAATGTTGGCATGCTAAAATTAATTTTACTCTACTGTGATTGTTCGATAGCAATTGGGACGGAATACCCATGTTTTTTTTGGGTACCTATATACTAATTAAAAATATAAAATGGGAAAATAAATATTATGTATTATGAAACTTAATTTCCCTTCCTATTTTATACGGGCTGTCAGTACCTAGCATAATTACACCAGGTAGATTGAAAATGTTGTTTTCGCTGTTTCATAGTATTTTTTTTTTTTATAAATATGAATTTTTTGATATTTTCTAACTTTGTAATTGACATTATTAAACAGTCAACAATAGACTTGTATTAAAATTATGATAACAATAAAACATTAATATACCTAATAATATGTTATAAACCAACAATATAGCGATTGTTGTCTGTTATTACTTTAAACAGGTAATGATATAGCTATGAATGTATGACATATAGACGTATCTTAAAACTGGGAATATTAATTAAACGATTGGGCTAAACTCAGATACAATGCAAAAAAATCTTTTGTTACATTTCAAGTATAACTTACTAATACCCAGGCCGTAATAAGGATTAAACCTTTCTCTTAGTTATCATTGGAACGCAACTAGTAAGCAGTCCTATTAGATATATCAGTTATAATTGTTGTGAACTACGACACTTGAAAAAACAATTAAGGAGGTCGGTGGTGGACAGTTATTTTAGGCTAAAAATACAAATCATTTGTCTGTCGTACTCATTAACCTAGTTATGCGATAATATTTTTTTAAAATTAATTTGAATTCGATCGGTCAGTCCACTTTTCCCAATTTCACCCTTCTCTCCCCTTAAAAAATATAAATGTTGTTTGAATATTTAGAAATTGTGGAATTTTCAAACGTCAATTATTCGGAATTTAAATCATAAGTCTTAAAATGTGGACTGATCGATCTCATGTAGACATTATAACGAATTCAGATCAGTTTTCTGAAAGATTATTGCATTATTAGGTCGATCGGCAGGATGGACAAAAAGTACATTCAAATGAGCTTAAAGTGTTTACCGTTCACTCCCTAATCGTCGAAATGGTAACTTGTACAGCGCTCCTGGCGCTCCTCTATTTCTTTTACATACAGTCACACAAACTCTAATGATCACTTAGTACGCACACATTAACAAAACTCGCATGAAATTGCATGAAATTTGAAAATTGCCTATTTCGAAATCCTACAAAAACTGTCCTCCACCGTTCACCTTAATTTGATCGATTTGCCCTGTCCATCGTCTTACTTTGCTCTCACGCTTACCAGAATCCTCTCGTCTGCTCTACTACTTTCATAAGATACTCTTATTTAGTAATTCAATTTTAGACGAATTCGTAAATATTTTGTTACTGTTAAGTTAGATTAGTTATTATAGGCATATTTACGTACCTAGTTAAAATTTAATGGACACTAATAAATTTGTTTATTTTTTTGTTCTTAGAATTTAGACTATCATGTTGATCCAGGTTTCTACGACAAATTACAAAATTACGTATCTGTTATGAAACAAACGATTCCCGATTTAAAAATTGGACTATATGTAAATGCAAGCAATATGATATATTATAGTAGCAATCCATATTCTCCGGATTGTAAGTAAATTAGTTCACATTAACAAATTTAACTAAAAATTAATTATATTTTTAAAATACATTTCCCAGTACAGACTAATATTATTATTTTATTTTTATATAATATGTTAAATGTTTTATAATATGAAAATAAAATAATATTTTATTTATATTATATGAATAAAAATAATGTATATGGTTTGATTGATAGGGTTTGATTTTAATTTATTAAATGAAGTTATGGACTTTTATGTAATTGGGTTTGATAAGTTTAATCCATGCTCTGAAACTTTAAGAGGCGGAATCGTTCCAATTAACAACATTTGTGGTGTCAATAATTCATTGGTAAACGTTTCGTAGGTATCCAATTTTTCAAAAATGAGATTGGTATTTTTTATATTTTGCAGACACAATTAGCAACAGCTTTATATTCTTCAAGGATTGCAAAGGATCAAATTTATGTTGAATTTTTAACTAGTCCTACACCTAATGATACACCTGAAAAGCTGCCAGCATGTGCAGTGACTTATCAACAAGTATAAACATAATTTTATTTTATTATCAAACCATATTATATGAAAAAAAAATTAAAAAATATTTCAGATTCTGAGTGGAGCGTTGACTGTATTGATTTAAGTGTAGTTTTGTTGTGTCTATTACCACAAAGAAGCAGAAAAAAATGTTCATTCTTTAAGTTTGAGTGTAGTTTCTAGAAGAGTTTTTAATTTGGTTTTTTATAAACAGGAAATATAAAGAAATATAATTTTTTTTCATATTAATTGGAATGAACTAACAAAATACCACGGAAAACGGGAACGTTAGCAATATCTACCAGTTTTCGATAAACTTGATTTTTTTGTTGTGGTTAATAACCGTGAATTATGATAAAATATTATTAATTATATTAGAATTTCCAGACACGAAGCAAATTTCAAATTATTTTAGTCTTTTTCAGCTATTTATTTAAAACAAAAATTATGTTTAAATTTTGAATTTTATTATATATCAATTAGTAAATAATCATAGGTTAATGAAAATTTGAAAAAAAACCATCACTTACATGATATGATCATTAGGTATAAATATTATCATTAGGATCATAAAATATTTCAATGTTTAAAAACTACAATATAAATCGTAAACGATGATAAAACGTAAATTTAAGTTAATATATCTTTTATTTAAAGTTAATTGGAAATTACTCACTTAACTAATTACAAGTTACAAAGGTATCTCGGTTATAAAACTTAGATGGGTACATGTAACTGATTAGTGATTATTATAGATCAACGGTATTATAGTACTGCGAATTTCCCTGCTTTTTTTTTCATTATGCATTTTTCGACACTAAGAAACTAATTAGATATGTACTACTACAGCTAACCCATTTACAAACACAATGAATTGAAACAAACCATAAGATTAGTGTTAATTATACTTAAGTATTACGTATAGGTATTAGTATTTTACACAAAGTGTTAACGATATTGTTTTACTTTTAATTTTAAGAATATTCCAATAACTGCAATGTTTTGTAAGAAAATGTTTTAAAAATTTCAGATTTGTGAAGCTTCTAAGTACAAGAACATTTGGTGTGCTGATAATTCAGATTCATTATATGATAAAGTAATATTTTATATAATGTAATATGATAAATGTAAGGATTTCAATATTATTTCTTTAATTTGTAGGGCAAATTTGCGAAACAACAATTAAAAGCACAGGGAATAATACCAAAGTATATCGATACAATTGATCCCACCGGAGCATGTGAATGTGAAATGAATAATCAGTTTATAACGTTTAAGATGATGTTACGAGGTTTTTCAGAAGCAGACCCCATCACAGATTGCTTAGAGTTGAATAGTATTAAAGCGGAAGATCCAAGTTGCCCACAAGATATCCCAATAACTGCAACAGTACCTTCTCCCGCTCCTATATATAATTATTTTGGTTCTTTTTATAATTATTTATTTAATTAACGATAGTTTTTGAAATGCTTGTTGTTTAATTTACTATGGGTACATCATCAACGCGTCGTGCTATAAAATATTTATTTTTATTTAGTTATACGTGCAAAAAGCTTTTTTCTAGGTCTATTGTAAGTCTCTACGAATATTGTTTAATATATTCTCGGATAATGTACATTTTTAAAGTATTTTACTTTTAAAAACAATTAGATATTACAACAGATTAGATCTATAAAGTAAATGAATACCTACACAACTTTGTAATATTTTCATTCGTACAAAATATATCAATGATAAAAATTATAAAATATATTGAGAATCCATGTTTTTACAGCAGACTTGACGATACAACAATTTTTGTTTTTTTTTTAATTATCGATTGTTTTTACATATTAAAAATACAACAAAAATCGTTAGAGTGAAATATAAGTTATTCGCAATATTTATGTATATCAGCGGAAAAATAAATAATAAAACTAAGACTTCAGCGACGTCTGTTGCATGCACACATAGTTGACATAAGTTGCGAGGTCCTCAAAACAGTTTTAAAACAAGTTAATACAAATTTTGGAGAACTTTTACTATCATTACTTCATATTCTTATTTAAAAATAGGAAACATAATAGTCTCGTTCTTGGCTATGATATTATCATTGACTTTACATATAATAGGTTTGACAGTTGGTGTTCAAACTAAATTGCCAAACATTGTATGACACATCGACAAACCTATTTTCAAATTATACACCCGAACACTAAATAATATTGTAAATATTAAATGATTATTATTGAAGTTAATATAAAATTTCAAAAGTTATTATTACTATCATTATAAAAATACCACAGATCGCATACCTATAAGAAGTCGATATAATGTTCTTATATAATCTCTGAAAATACTATCTTATAATTCTTATGATAAAGTTGAAGAATATTAAAAATACACAATGTGGCATAGTCAAATTTTTAATAGATGGTACTTTTTCACTTACAGTTCCTTGTTATATTTTTCAATTTACAGTTGAAAACAAATTAAGTTTAGTGGTCAACCGTTTGGGGCACCTAAACGTGTTTGAGATAAGTTCCACCTATAATATGTATATTGTATATTATGTACTTACACCACTATATAGTCAGCGAAAAGATCGTAGGAAAAAATAAAAACGTGTTTCGAAACTCCGATATACCAGCTCGTTATGACGGTAAAATTGACTTCATAAACTTATATTTGGGCCGTAATAAAAACTAGGTGGTACTAATACTAAATGTACCACCACCACCACCACCGCCACCACTACCACTACTACCACAACTACCACCTCCACCACCACAACTACTGCTACTTCAGCCTACTGCCACCATAATATACTACGACCGCTACTACTACTACACACACGTTTTCCATTTTGCAGAGCTCGGTGTGTATTCACCGTAATTTGTCGGCCGACCTAATGACTTCCGTGGCCCGCCGCCGCGCGCCAGAAACGAAATAATTATTACACTAGCGGTTGTCCGTCGACGAAAAGCGGCAGATCGCACAAAAACGTACCGAGGAAACGCAGTATAACGGCAAATTACGAATGACCGCAATTTAGGTGTAATTTTCAATTTACAGAGTTTTCGTGATAAACATGTAACCGTACTATACCAACTGCTGCCGCCCCATCGCGATAATAATAATTTTGATCTCTTGCCGCTGCCGCGTGCAAGTTTCCTTCCCGGGCCCTCTGCGTCTCCCCTCCCCTAACCAACGGCTGTGAAATATATTTTATCCTTCGCCTAACCAGCTCACGCGTTGTCTGGAACATTATTCATTGTTTTAAACTAAAAAACATTCTTCGCTAATCTGTTGGGTCTAATGTGTCCGTTGAAAACTTAAGGTTGCAGGCAATAGAAAACGCAATATTAATAGCGCGCCCTGGATTGTTTGTATTTTACGAGAGTACATTAATATTGTTGTATTAATAAAATCGATTGTTATTGCAACTGATTTTAAACGACGCACGTTAAAAGTCATCTAAAGATGGAATCAAGTCAAATGTTTATGGAAAAAAAGAATATAAAAATTATAACTTACATCGGCTTTAGGCTCCGCGTGTACTATGCAGACGATTTCAGTTTCTTGTCCTTCCACAGTGAATACAATAGATTGTTCTTCTTTAACTTCCGGAGGATCTGCAAAATTCAAAGTCAAAATCTAAATAAAGCCGAAGACATGACTTCATAATATAACACACAAGCGAAGTATTTATGATAATATTATATATTAGGTATAACATATTAAATTGTATACATTATTACATTTCGCTTGTACTAAGTTCGCTAACTCAACACACATTTCAATTGTACCAAAACCGTACATTTAGGAATTATTTTTAAATTATTATTTTTTATTTATCTTATTGTTTGTTAAATTATTATAATACCTATAGTCGTACAGATACTAATTATTATATTAGGTGTATTTAAGTTATTGAAATACAAATTATTGCCGCTTTTTGTACCATAACCGCACCCGGAGCCACTCAGAGGGGGTTGTATGTTAAGTTGTTTGCACGGAGAGGGATGAATTTTCAAATGTCCATATTTTCTAAGATTTAGTACTTTTATACGCTACCTTATAAATCTATAAACTTATTTTATAATCAGTGGCTTGATATTCGAGTAGGTACTTCGTGAAACGTATATTTAAACAATACTATTGAAACAGCATGTTATATATATATTTGTAGGTACTAGGAAGTGGCTATTTCTATGAGTGCCTATCTATTTATTTTTGTGTGCTATGTTTTAATTTGTCGAAACATTAATTAAAAAGTATTATCTTATTGCCAACGATTTGACTACCACCTTAAATTTAAATTTAAATTTATCAGGAGCGTCATTCGGTGGCAGCGGGTGGAGCATTTTCTCCATTATAGATTTTAAAAGGCTGGTTAAATTGTTGGTTGTCTACAAATTTTAAAACGTCTGAAATAATGATCGAGAACTCATAATCATTGTCATTTTGAAGGAATCTACAATCGTGCCCCAGTAATGAGGGCAATGATAGAAGTGAAATTTCATCTATTAATGCGATGATTGATATATTTTGTTAAGATCACTATTCCTTTGCTTGTTTTCATCACAATTTAAAAATGCTCATATTATAACGCAAAGAAATATCTTTCGGAAAAATTGAACGTGAAAGATAAACAATTCTGTAAGCTTTCAGTTTGATAATAGATTATTTTACTGTAATGTTAAAACTAACAACTCAAAATGTGTGCTATACAGAACGAAAATGTTGCCATATATCCACACGTCAGCGAGAGAAAAATATAATTATTAATTATTATGTAAAATAATATTGTCATCTTTTGTCAAAACAACATATAAAAATAAATTATGACTATAAAACAACTAGCAAACTGTCTTATGATTGATTAATAGTTAATATATTGTTAATAACTGTAACCTTATCGTATTATGGGACAGAATATTGTTAACGACTGAATAATGAAATACATATATTTATTTTGTATTTATGAGTGCACTGTGTAATATAAACTGTGTATTACTATTATGATTTAAACTTAGAGTAATATTTAATAATAATATGCCTGGTTAACTAATAACATTAAAAATTAAAAATATCCAAAGTTAATGTTAGGTAATTATAATATATAATTTATACTGGAGTATTTTTTTTTTCAATTTTTCATAATTACTTAAACATGTTTATCAATAATAAATTAGGCCAATCACAGTATCTATGAGACGTAGAAATAGATAGATGGTACGTGTCGGACCCTGAAATTTCCCCTTCTAATTGTATAAGGAATTTACAAAAGCACTGTGTACCTATAATATCTGATAAGACATATCGAAACACGGAGCCGTTGTTTATCGTAGACATGTTGTGCAATGTAACCACCAATATATAACTACGTATATTATATGTATGACAAAGTACAATATAATATTATATTATATTGTGTGGGTATATATTATACATCCAGTGCCGCAACTAAGGTTAATAGGGCCGAGGTGCAATACCAAATAATAGGGCCCCTTACTTACCAACATTTTACAACATTTTTTCATGAAAAATATATTTATATATGTAAACGTTAAGTATCCACCACAATTTAAATTTATTTTTAACTAAAAAAATACAAATTTACATTAGATAAAAACATTTACATTACAAAAATAATAACATATTTATAATATTAAAATTACTTTAAAAAATTTTTTTTTCTGCTTTTTTGATTGGCAAAGTCAATAATTAATTTTTCTACATCAAGTTCTTCAGTGCGAGCTCTTTCTATATTTAATATACTTATGTTTGTTAGTTGGTCTTGAGATATCGAGTTTCTTAAATAGTTTTTAATCAGTTTAAGTTTAGAAAATGACCGTTCGGCCGATGCTACAGTCACTGGTAAACTTAAAAATATAATACAAGATGTAACAACTTCACTATACAAAGATGATAGGTCGTTTTCTATTAAATATAAACATAATTCTTTAATTGTTTTCATATCAGTGTTTTTTATAAATTCCTTTAAAGATAGAACTTGACTAGTTAAATCGGAAGTTACGTCAGTTTTGTAAAACTGAATAAAATCATAGCATGATTTTACTATTTCTGCTTCATTTAATTTTATTATATTTGGTGGCAATAAAAAATTTGAAGTATTTGATACTACTTTAAGTCCTTTAAAACGATCTTCGAGTTGAAATAAAGCAGTATCAACTAATGATAAAAAAGTGTCTGCTAGATTTCATAGTTTCATTTTCATCACTAAAAATTATGTCCGAAGGAAAGTTTATTGACGGTTTGCAAGGACCATATGATAGAATTTGTTTTTTCAAATTAGAACTGATTGTGATATTTTGAAAATGTCCTCTATCTGTTGGAAACTCCAACTTTAAATCCAATTCACCAACTAATCATATGCAAATTAAAAAAAAAAAATTTTTAAATTTCTTGAATAGGTACTATAATAATTTTAACTAATTGATATATTCCTGGTTTATTAAAAATAAACTATTACTGATTGATTCTGCTTTAACTGGTAACATGATTGTTGCAACAGAACATAATATATATTTTATTTATAGAGTATAGACATTAGACACATATTATTATCTATATTATTTTCTAATTTACTATGTAATAATTTTAAGTCTTTTTCAATTATTTAAAGAGGGCCCCTTCGGGGCTCTCTAAATTCTCTGCTGGGGGTGCAATGCACCCCCTGCACCCCCGGTAGTTGCGGCACTGTATACATCACATATTATTATATGGTACGCGATGTTTGTCTTTCCGTTGTCTACACATACATACATAAATAATATACTGTATAGTGTTTACCACTTCGTACATGATGCACATAATATATATATATATTTTGTGTGTAGAAGAATACTGTTTTCTCGTCAGATGACGATTGCACTCCTCCCCCACTACAAGGTCGGCATCCGACCTCGTCGTCGTATAAACCTTAATCAGATAAACCTCGCTGCGTAGTACATTCGGCCGAGTCGCAGGCCAAGGTGAGGGTCGGACCGGCATGATGTGTGACGAGAAAACGACTTATATACTACACATATATTATATATTTATCTATCGATGAGACGGACGCGGAGTGGGCTCTTCAAATTTTGCGCAAACACACAAACTTTACCTCTGTGCTCGATACCCCTCGGCCTGGCGACGACGGTTCACTGCAATTTGTAAGTCCTGCACTGCACACTTTCTCCCCTTCGAATTGCACACACATGCATACCTACTACATACACATGACATCATCTATAATCACGTTATCCTGGCCGTCGAGACGATACGACTGCGACGACGGACCGTAGGTAAACAAACGCGCCCTTGCACACATAAGAACGGGCCAGCGGACGATCCTATTTTAACAAAATGTCGATTTGGAAAAAATACAAATAAATGAAAATAATATAGGTATATCGTTCATCGTTGTTTTTTTTTCTATGTTATATTTTTGTTACGAGGCAAGAGAGAGAGAAACCGATTCTGGAAAGGGAGAGTTGAGAGAAATTTAAAGAGAACGTTAACGAACTCTCATTGTTTGGAAACAACGGACCACGTGATTTCTGTAAGAGTATAGTTGATATTAACATTGTTGATTTCATTGGCGTGTGTTTTTTTCTCCATCCGTTTCCGTTCGATTTTCTTTGCGGAGTAGCAAAAGAAAATAAGAATAACGATAAATTCCTTTTGGCGTACATTTCCCAGAATAAACAGACGCCGCTAGCATACTTGAGCCCATACGGGTTTTCCGAATGTGCTTTTCTACTTTTCTAAAAACGTCGGGGAAAAAATTAATTCTCTCTCGCGATATTATTTTCTTTACATTTTTTTTATACCATGTCCCTTTTATATTCTCAAAAACGACAGTGACGCCTTTTTTCTTCCATTACTCTGCATAAATATATATGTATAAGTGTTTTATTTTTCGGGCTACACAAATAAACGTATTATAATAACTCGCGTACTACAATTCGTATTCATTGCCTTCATATCGTACCAATGTAGTCACAGACAACGGTACCTACGCTATTTTCAGCCATCCGAACTTGGTTGCAAATATTTGCTTGAACATTGTCACCCACTTGGTGGTGGTGTGTGTGTGCGTGTGATGTGTGTGTGTTGGTGGGTATACAGATTACGTTAAGACACAAAATGTCAAATAAAACTACGAGGCGGATAGGACAGGCCACGATACAGTGTTAACCAGACGGTTTACGTACAAGTACGGGGGGTGGTAGCACGCAGTAAGGTTATGTACAATTTAAATAATAAACATCGTTTTTATCTTTGGATACTTATTACGTAATAATGGATGTTTCTGTTTGAATATTCTAATGATTTTTCTTTTAGTTAAAAGTCGAATATATTATTAACAAAAAAAAATGCGATTATTTCCCAGTTTTCTCTACATTTTGGAGAGCAACACTATTTCTGTTTCTATAATATGTATAAAAAAGTATATACCCAACTTAATGAGGGAATGTGAAAAAAAACCACGAACTTTATGAACATTTAAAGCATATAATTTATAAGTTATGGAAATTTTTCGGTATTTAACAATTAGTTTTCCAGGTCATATAAATATAAACTAGATAAAATTCAAGCATTAATATTACAAACGTAATACGTTTATGAATACTGCGCTGTTTTTGATTACTGGTGGACAAAATAAAATATGTTATGACAATGTTCGAATTAATTTTTTTCTTTACTCCACGAGTCACGACAAACCTTTTTGACCATATTTTTTTTTTGTTTTTCGTTTATTGGTTCATTAGGTGACGTTATTTTAAAATACCAACGAATTTAGTGAAACATAATATTATATATGAGGTTTTTATATTTTTATAAGACACTATGACGTCAAAAATGAGTTATTATTATTTTTCTGTTTTTATTCGAACGTTTCGAGAAGGTATACGCTTCACGGCTAGTCTGATAACCGCGTAAGTTGCGAATTAGGCGCAGACACCCGGATGGACGTCAAGTGCTCGTTGCATATTTCATCGGGCGGAATACACCTAGCCGAGCGTATTCACCGCAGCCAAATCCTTATGAATTTTTATTAGTGACGGATTTTCTCCACGCACGTGTCTTGTCGCATTTCTGTTACGAGACGTGTTCTCACGCCAATGATTCCATTATCCACCCTCGTGTATAATTAATATTGGCAACAATGGAAAAGTTTAATTGCCTTGTTCGGCGTACGCCGAAAATACTAGTTTCCTTCCCGGAGTACGATAGAAATCATAATAAATAAATACCTACTCTTCCACCGGAGACCCAATGAAATTTTACCACTAATCAAATATAATATATTAAAATACCGTGGTAGGTATAATATTATTGCTCCATAACCCACATTTCAAAACTAAATTGTAACCGCACGCAGAAAATAATCAAATCGGGACCCTGTTCATTACTATCTAATTTAATGTTCAAACATTTAAATATACCAGGTATGTAGAACGCGTGGGCAAAATATAATTTTACGTCATCAACAACTATATTATAACGACCTAAGACGTAAATAGGTATTTGAAGAACGGACACAGTATAATATTAAGTACGCGTGTAAATTATATTATTCTTCTGTGGAATATTGTACAAAAACCTTAAAGAAAGAGATTTTATTTGAAATATTTTTGAATATCTACTACGGTATACATTATAACATCTTGATTTTTCAGTGTGAATTTTTAATACAAACTATAATTATTTATTGTGTAAAATGAAAAATTACCCGTACATGCGTATATGACGCTTTGAACATTAAAATGTTTGTGATTATATACAAGTGTTTAAATTCGATGTAATCCAGTTTTGAAAGACGAAACCCCAAGCTGATCAACTCAATAATAAAATATATTTTTCACTTTTTTCTCTTCTAGTAAATACATACTACGATATTTATTATATTAATTTGATATTTTAATGCGATAGAGAATTGACAATGTCTATAAATTTTGAATGAGACACGTGTGAGAACATATTACGCATTACACGTTATTATATGACACGTGTGCCATAATATGATGCAATATAATAATATATTTTAATAATTGTACATAGCTTTTATCATAACCAGAAGAGAAAACATACTTAAGATCCAAATAAAATATTAACTAGTCATGGTACTTCATAATATCATAAAAAATAAAGTATGAGGTAGGTATCATATATGAGTATATAATGAGGTTAGGTTTGAAGAGATTAAAAAATGATGGCGGTATGATAGTATATCATGGGGATAGAAAGTGGATGAATGCAATAATTGAAAACATGGATTGAAAAATGATACTTAGAAAATATGGAGCAAAATTAGTTGAAAATGTAATGACTAGAATCACGAATGGCTGTACTGATACGAGTAGGTGCAGTAAGAAGTGGAATAAATACCAATAAGGTATGAATTCGAGAAAAGAATATTGTGACCTAGTATGAATTAAAGTGATACGGGATAAATACATTTAATACATTTAATAGGGAAAGGTAAAATAAAAAGATAGATAAAATTCAGTTTTATAATATTCTTATAGCGAACAATATAATTATTATATTCCTAGGAAAATTCAAATTATATAATGGAATTTTAAATAAAAATTAATCTAAAATTGTACATAACTATTAACTAACAGCATATTATGCACCGAAGTTTATTTTAGATCAATACAAATATCATAGAATATTATATATTTTATTAAAATTTGCATGTACTATCAATTTGTATTGTATGAAAATTATTATAAATTAATGAGTTAATATTTATTTATTTTTGTATTTTTATTCACTGTCAAGAAATATAAGTAGTTAAAGTATATAAAACTACCTTTTTAGAACAAATACTCAAATGAAGTATATTAAAAGTTGAAACTCGTTTAGTTTATTATTACTTTCTGATAAATATTATTGTCTTCTTGGTTTTTCATAAATAATTGTCTACCAATATTTAATGTATATTAGGTGCTTTTGTTAAAATAACTGTTTATTTAAATATTTATTAAAATAAAATAACAACTAAGATAAAGTAGTCTAAATAAAAGTAATTTTATAATAAGTGATAATTTCACGGTATAATCTATATTAGATAAAATTTTATTTTTGATAAATCACCTTAATTAAAAACTAAAAAATTAGGTCTCGTAAAAATAATCGAAAACTTTTAAAACGACTAAATAAATAGTTTATCCTTACATTTATGTATATATAATTAAATTAATATAAATAATTTGATTTTGCTCTATGGATATTAAATAATGTGAATTATTTATCTACAGATACATTACTATCCACATTGCAATGCTCTAGTTCTGAACGATAAGTTAATTTATATCTAGTTGTTTTAAACTTATATGTAATATCTATAACAGAGTAGTAGCTATTATAATAGTATACTTACATAGAATATTTAGATCGATTTCTTCATTCACGGTCGTTCCGATATTATTTGATGCGGTACAGATGTAAACTCCATCGGCTTGTCTTCGGACAGAGTCAATTGTATACGAGTTTCCAACAAATGTTTTTTCACCATTCGGAAGCATATTGTTCTGAAAAAAAAAAAAAAAAATTAAGTGAAATGAAGGATTGTAGGAGTTTGGTTTACCAAAAGGCCTGGGTTTGTTACATTTGTGTCGTGATATTGAATGTGAAAGTAACAATGTATAATCACATTCAAAATATAATTAGAAGTAGAGTTTGGTTTACTATAGTGATAAAATGGTTTTGACATTTTGTAGGATCCCATTATTTTTTACCCCTATTTCCTGAATTATCTCCAACAAAATTACCCACCGAGTATATTTTGTTAAAATCTCATTTGATTACATTTCTTTATTTCTTCACTGTTATTGGAAGACTTTTTTTGCACTTAGGGAACCTAATGAGAAAATCGAAAAATTACCTCAAATAAAATGGATGACACTGTCAACCAAAATAGAAGTAGTTACCTACTTAAAACATTTGTAGTTTTTTAACTCGTAAATTTATGAACACACAGACAAAATTCATAATTTTTAAGCCAATACACTTTTAGCTTTGCTTAAAATCTAAATTAATATAACATGTTATTTACAAAAGCGAAATAAATTATGTTTTTATTTTAGTTTTAAATTAAAATTAAACAGTACTTATGCTACTTAAGATAAGAAATAAATTTAAAATTACTTTTTATCGTTTACTCTACCGTGTGTAGGTCATTATAGTTGATTTAAAATTTAAAAATACTAATTAAGTCACAATGAAGTAGATTTTGTTGCAATAAAAATTACCAAATAAATTGGGTAGATGGTCGAGACCATTTGTTTTTCGGTAGTTTATAATTCCGAGAAAAAAGTGCTTATAGCTGTTCAGATTTTTCTCTAAAAACAATTTCATAATATTATCATCTCATTTATAAGAATTTAAATTGAAAAACTTGTGAAATTTACATCACATCCGGTTTATTTATTTCACGGGGAAAAAAGGATGTTTTATAATATCAGCTTCTTTTCTTTATAATATAAGTACAATTTGTAATTTTATTTTTGAACTCATAGATTTTTTTTAAATAGTATTTCAAAGTGAATACTTAAAAATCTCGTTTTCGATATTATTAAAAGAGCTAAATTTGATTTCTTGTAATTTTTTTCGTATACCGTGGTTTTGAAGTACGCTGAAAAAGAATAATATCAAACCTGAGTTTTTGTCATTAATCAAAGTAAATTGAACAGAAACAACTTCATAGGTACCTAATATTAACAGCATCCCGCTGGCGATTGGCGTACTATTACGTCATCAGGTCAGCAGACAGTAATAAATATCTATGGAATTCATTATTATGATTATATTATTATCATAATATTATAATATTTATTATAAAATATTCGACTCTAAACTCTAGAGTCTATATTATATTATTATACTTGCAGTATAACGGGACAGTGAATTTTTGTACCCGATGTTTATTTTATTTTTATTTGTCCTTGTTGTTGTTGAACACACAAGCAAAACAAATGCCATCGTTACACAAAATAAATCCTATTATCATTTTAATTTACAATTGGAAAATTGATATTTTACGAGTATGGTTTCATAATTAATTGCGTCGTATTCATTCGTGTTTATAAAATATATAAATTAAACATATTTTGATATTTAATTAAGCACGACTGTAAATAATAACTATAGATACTATAATCGTATATATGTCCGCTGGTTAGTAATAATAATTATCACATTACAATGAACGTTAATGTAGTGAATAAAATATGTTTTGTGTTGTATGGACTACAATACAAATACATAATAATAATGTAATAACTTTATAAATATAACGTGAATGTTTTATGTGTTACTCGTGCAATATAAAAATAAGTAATTTGTACTACACGAGAATATTATTATCTACTCTCAAAAATGATGAAAAATACTCGTTGAAAATGAATACTCTGAACTCAGTGTTTGTACTTTGTATGTTGTTCGAGGATCATTATATTATTATTATTATTACAGGGAATAATCACATTAGTATACAAACAATACATTTTTAAGTAAATAAGAATATTAATTTACATGACATTTTAACGTTTGAAAAGTTTAATATTTTGTTTTTTACAAACGATTCATACACAAAACGGTTCGAGTCCACGAATGTCGACGACCCGGCTTAATTTTTTTCACCGGGACTTTGGATTTTTATTTGCAGTCATCAACCTAACATTAATTGTTAATACGAATGCTCAGAGAATGTTCTGACGTAGGACGGTTTACAATAGAATACATTTCGTAATAATCTACCCTACACAGTTTGTGTAAATAAAATAAATGAATAGTGATAGGAATTATGATATAATATAATGACGTGCACCGATTATTATTATAAGTGTGAATAGTATAAAGCCATAATATCTTTGGTTTTATTGTGTGTGTCGTATACCATTGCGCATATTATAGACTTATTATAAACATTGAAATACATAAATGGAAACATTTTTAAAAGGTTTTATCTTTTTTATCTACATTCTCGTACACAGACAAATAGGGTTTCCGTCAAATTTTCAGCCCTATACCCTAGGTCCTTGATGTTGGATTGTATCAAAAGTTTCCAGTAAATCATTCATAATAATAATATGTAGCTGACGGAAACTTGTGCGAAATGAAATACTTAATGTGTTGTACACACGTTTATTCTATGTGTATACAGTTTAAGTTTTTGAACGCGCCCATAAATAACCCAGAGAGTAAAGGGAGTCTGCTGTATAATGGAAACAGTTGACTAGTATTAAGATTTCAGATATCATCATCTAACGAAATGCAACGAATAACATAAAAAAAATCATGATAAAAACAACATTTCTTGATGAGTAGAGCTCTGTTTTTGTTTTTGTCGTTTTTGTGTGTTTAAAATAAAGAATACAGTTAGCGCCCTCATCAATATTTTGCGTTATGGAATTCTCCACTTAAGGGGAAGTCAGATGCGAGATACTGTATAGTAATTTGTGAAACATAAATATACCGAAATTCTGCTGTTGCTTAATTTGCATAATAAAGCTTATTCGTTTGTAAAATAAAAAAAAAATAATAGTAATAATAATCATTATTTATGGACTATGGTTTGTGAAAAAAGAAGAAAACACTTCGATACTTATACTTATGCACAGGCACAATGTAAAATACAGAATAAAGTTAACGGTTTTCAAAGTTTTTATCAGTAATATTTACCATCCAAAGGAGTGGGTGATGACGTTTTAGGCCCAACTCCTTCGACTAAAAATAAAATTCGTCGTAGAATTAGCATTTGAGCTACGCCAGAAACAACATTAAGCCAATAAAAATGAAAAGAAAAATGTATGCTTAAAAAATGAGCCAAAAAAGTGTCAATGCCATAATAGCTTATCCAATGTAAAATATATCGAAACTCATTGAATTTGTTAATCACTACATAGTATGTCCTATTTATGAGCGATGATTAATAAGTATTATGATATAATATAATACCTTAAAATTTAAAATGTATTTCATAATTACAAATTAAAATAATTAATTAAATACATTTTTTTTTTATGTTATTGAGTACTTCATTTGCAATTATTGATGCAATAATAACACAATACATTTACATAAGTTAACATGTACATTTTCCATGCACCTTTTTAGTTTGTACACAATAACATATCTGACTTTAGCATAAAAATTGTGTTACATAATACAAACTCATAATGTTTCATTTCCGAATAATAACATTTGTTATCGTTGTTGGCAATTTCGATACTTGTAAAGAAACAAATTAAATGAAGTAGTCGGCCCAATAATTAATAATAATTATTAATTTTGTGGTTTGATAATTTTGCCGAAGTAAAATTTTAATAATTGTTAACACATTTCACCAAAAACACTTTGAGAATTCGGACTAAAGTTTTCGAATTGTTTGTAGAATATACCCTCGGGATGCCATTCAACAGTTTGAATAGTGCAAGATAATATCATCTGAAGAGTATAGATAAAAGAGGCTAAAACACACCTTTCTGTTATGTACAAAAACATATCTTTCAATGTCGTGTTGCATATAGTACGTGCAACTTCACTTTGTATCTTTGTTGTAATACTAACGGCAATAATGGTATACATAGTGCACATAATTTATACGCGTAGGTCAATTTGCGTGAGGGAAAATAATTTTAAAAATCATCTCTGCCAGTTTTAGTAAAAGGCGCTTTTGACACTTTTATCATACACGAAAAAATACTCAAGCTCATGACTTTGACTACCTACTTCAAATGGTTTAGGAGAATAGTTATGAAAAAAATAAATAGTTAAGATAATTGCCTTAATTTAACACAAAAGCTTTATAAACACATTTTAAAATAATGGTTGCTGAGCGCTGTGACCTATATTACAACAGACGAATGAAAATTTAAAATTGCTCAAATTATATTTTAGCAACTTTGTTATAAACACACTTTTGCCATTTACTACATAAGATGGTCACAAACTGTATTTTTAAAAAACTCTGGTTTTAAATAATAATATTATGACTGTGTTATTATTTTATAGGAACAAAATACGTATACTTAATTATTTATATTCATTACTTACCTGTCTTTTTATACTAAATACATTATTATAACTACTGATTCTCACCATGAGCAATTACTTTTTGACTTTCATAGATTTTTCTTTATTTTCGAGAACAATAACTATTATTTTTTTACATAAAAAAATGTACCTCTAACAAAATATAAGCGATTATAGTTCAATATTATCAAGCATGTATAAAGTTTTTCGTTGTTCGATGATTCTGTTTATACAGTTTTAAAATTGTTTTCTTAGGGTTCTAGTTGAATATCGTGATTTAGTTCATAATAAATATATATTTTGTTTTTCTATCTGTATTATAAATGTAAAAATATTTAGAATATTTATAAAAAGCATCTGAATTACAGTACTTTGTATGTTTAGGTGGTTAGGTTATTTATTTCATGTGTCTTAAAAACAATATTAGTTTAGCTATCTTAAAAACGTTGGTGTGATGACAAATAGTCTATCTATAATAGCTATAAACGTTTTTTTT